GAAAAGATAATATTAGTGGGGTGGGCAACAGGCTAGATGCAAGATGTCCTCTAATTTCCATTTTCTCCTTTGTTCAGAGTTAAAGAAATCTTTATTTCTTGTTGGACATATGGTTGTCTGCCTGGAACAGTGTTTCCCATGCTATAGGACCAACTTAAGGCCAACGAGATGTTAGCAGAAAGGATGTACAACTAATGGGAAGTATTCTTAAATAAATGGACTGTGTCCTTTACCATCCCTTCTTCTTTACTACCAGTTGGACAGTGGACACAAGAATGGACATTGTAGAGCCTGAGGGGACACTTCAGATAGAAATCACATGAGGAATGGAATCCATCTGAGGAACAGCTCCCCCTTTGGAGTTTGCTGTTGGTATTTTCATGCTGTTTCCTTTGGCCATTTGTCTTTCCTTTGTGGATGAAATCCTATCACTTAGGACAAGACTGGAGGAGTCTGGCACCCTTTTATTAGCCTAGGCCACCTCCCTCTGGAGTTTCATGCCTAACGGCAAGGCATTTTTATTCTTATTTAAACCACCGGAGCTCTGAGCTCCTGCCTAAATCTAATACAATTGGTACTAATAGGATAATTCAGTCTTAGGTTTTAAAAAAAATGTGTTTAAAAACACATTTGTTTTTCTATCAGGGCTCTGAAACAATGAAGTGGGTTCAAATGAGGTGAGTGCCAAGGTCGGGCTTCTTTCTCTAGTAAGTGAAGCACTTGATTCACTAGTCTGGGAGACTGTCCTTCTCCCCTGACCAAAGAAACAGCTACATCTATACAAGCTCTGGCACCAGGACTGTTCTGTTCTTCTGGAGGAAGAAGCTGCTGCATGTGCAGACCTTCATTTGAACCTGGCATAGCAATTCTTCAACAATAACAACTCTACACCCTGTGACTCTTTTATTCCTTCTGCCTCCACCTAAGTGCGGACCAGGCACAATACTACTGAAGATTAGACGCTTTATGGATGGGTGATAAAAGTTGACAGGAACAAGGTCTACGTGTTAGGTAAAACAGTCTTTGTTCATGGAATCTCATAGCTCCTCTGTTTGGCTCAACATAGCTTTGTCTCATTTCATTTCCAGCCTTAAGGCAGAACTAGGATTATTAAAAAAAAAAAAAAAAAAAAGATCTCTTTCTCCAGCTTGTGCTGTTCATTATCTGAGGTAGTCTTGATCCTGCCCTTTCTTCCTCACCCCATAATGTGCTCAAATGAACACTCTGAGTGCCTGAAACTTATAGCTCCAAGAATCCCACTTAACTAGAGGTAAAACTTTACCTGATTACTTGCTACAATGCAAATGCATGACCCGAAAAGATACTGGCTTAATTTTGTTACTATAGTGACTTGAGTTAGTTTACCATATTAGCTAGCTAAAGTCTAGGAAAAAACAAGGAATGAGGCAAGGAAAGACTCTGGAAAAATGGAAATGAATTGGCTTATGCTGTTAAGTCACCCAAAGGTACTTGTTAAGCACCTATTACCCTCCTGCATGATACATTAGCTGCCAGCAAGAGAGGCCAGCTGGGGAGGAATGGAAGGTGGACAACAGATTGGAGGGGGAGGATCCCTGGGAGGTAGTATCATCAGTTTCTATGGTAGAAGGGAGAACTCCAAGGCAGTTCACAGAGCTATCCAAGGAAAGCCAGATCATTTGAGCTGGACCATGTCCTTTGTCTTGCTACAATATGGTGGCAGGAACCCTCCCACTGGCTTCTGCAGAAGAGATTAGGAGTATACTCCATCAATGAGGAGGAGCACAGAGGTCTCATTCAACCATGGAGCACTGGAAATTTACTCACTGGACAACTGGGTAGATTGTTCTTTTAACTCTTTTCAGTTTGGGGAAATAACATGTACACTTCACTTCATGAGTCTCCCGTGTATACTTGTTTTTGTAGATACCATTGGATTCTGCTTGGCTTCTTCCTTAAATTCCTTAAATTATATTTTATCCTGTTTATAAGAATTTCCAAATCCCTTGTCTCCACTTACGGAATTATTTTTGATGTTTAACACTAGCTGAAGTTTTAAATATGAGACAATGGTATTTAAGGTACTATTTGTCATTTCATCTTAGTAAATAAATAGTAGAATATACAGAGTGAAACTACTATAGTTAAGTAGCAGTAAACAAAATTTAGAAGTATGGTGGTTGTGATCATTTCTGTTAATACTTCCATTAGGCTAGGCTATCATTTGTTAGTTGTTTATTAACATGGAAGTCTGACACTTAGTAGGACAATTTTAAAGGAAAAAAAATCTAGTGGCATTCTTTTACTCATTTCACAAACCTTAAATTTTAACATAGAATATGCTTACTTAATATCTTGTCTTATACATCTATAATGTTTTGATTAAACTAATATTATTACCCCAACCATAGAAATGCAAACATTTAGATTCACAACTTTCTTCACTATTCTCTTTTTAAAAATATTTTTTTAGATGTTTAAGGACCTTTATTTTATTGATTTATTTATATGTGGCACTGAGAATTGAACCCAGTGCCTCACACATGCTAGGCAAGTGCTCTACCACTGAGCTACAACCCCAGCCCTCTTCACTATTCTTCTGTCAAAGATATTGGTTGATATTTAACTGGAAGAAGAGCATACTTCAATTTGCTCAGGTGCTATCATTGAAAATGCTATATTTTCAATGGTTATAAAATATTATAAGAATATATATAAACACTGGTTGGACAAAAGAAAAAACACTTTTGTCAGGGTGCAAAATATATATTCTCAGCCTTTCTTGGGGAATGGAGACAACCACTTGACTTCAGTGAGTCTTATTCAGTCTTAAAATGGAGGAGCTTTGTAAGAGGTGTGTGGTGATCCTATTGGTGATCTAGCCCCAGAGATAGTCTCAATCTTCCACTCCTTGCTACTTCATGAAAATAAAAAAAAAATGCTGGAGTGACATACTTACTTTCCCATCATCTTTTGGAGCTAGGAGTAACTGGATAATCTATTTCTCACTAATGATATGTAAGATAAGCGGGGGGGGGGGTTCTGGGGAGAGTTTTCTCTTCCTTATGTTTTATGTCTCAAATGTGAATGGGATGCCAGGAGTGGAGGGAATTAATTTTCAACCAGGAGCAACAAGCATGAAGAAAAAAGCCAACATGGTACAATGGGTCAGGCTTTTGATAACATTGCTGAGCTGCTACACATCTCTCTTCTTGAGACTTGTAATTATGTAAGCATGTTTAAACGATCTTATTATTTAAGTAATGCTTTGCCAGGTTTGTTTGTTGGTTTATTTGTGGTCATTGCATCTTATAGACTTTCTATGACTTTGAAGAGATAAGTGTACAGTGATCTGAAGACAAAGTCAATTCACTGTCATAGAGATGGTGCAAGTTTACTTCCATGATGAAGGAAATGTCCATACAGAACATACAAAATATGTGGCCACTGAACACTTGAGAGTGTGGCTAGTGTGATTGAGAAACTGAATCTTTATATTTACTTTTTATTTAATTCTTTCATTTTTTAGTGAATTTTTAATTTTATCTTGCTTTAATTAATTTAAGCTGAAATAGTCACATGTGGCTAATGGCTGTCATGTCAAACAGTGCAGATCTAAAGGATTACTAGTCTACTAAAAACATTTAGATTACTATTGTTATCTTGAACAAAAATTCAGCCTCTAATTTATATATGCTATTTTATAAGCCAAGAACATCTCATTATGGAAAAATGATGATTCAGCGGGGCTTTACATAGCATCCTGTTTGAAGGCTGTTAAACAATATTAAACAACATTTAACTTGCATATTAGCTAACTATACAGAACTGATACCAATTTAAGCATTTCACATTGACAACTATAATAAATGATGTCTTTTTAGAAATAGAATCTTATTCACACTACATTCATTCAGCTGTTTGTTAAGACTTTTGTATTCCCAATCACAACTGAAAAGAAAAATAATGGTGTGCCAGTCTCATTAAGCGGAGGGGGTACAACAGCTCTCTGAGAGAAATTGTAAATTATAGTTTGCAGAAGATGGCTCGGTATGCTGGCAAATCAGCCCAAAGTGTACCCACCAAGAGCTGTGGGATACCAAGAGCTGACAGACACTGCAGTAAAAACATAATAGCAATGGACACATGATTACACCAGGAACCAGTGATCTGTATGGCTGTCTTGTCCTGGAACATGGAATTCAATGCTCTCTGCTATACCCAAATGTGATTTGGATTAATAATCCCATCACCCCTTAGCAGGCTCACATTCACAGCCATTTTCGAGCCTAAGGAACAACTAATTCTACAAGGATCCACGGTGGCCTGGAGCTGTTAAATTAGCACTTCTTCAATCTCCTGACAAGGATCACAGTCACCAATAACTCTTCATCATGGTTCCCTCCCAGCTGAAAATAGCTCAGTCCCTCTGTGCTGGGAACCCTACTTCCTTTCTATCTGGTGTTATGCACAATTTTATGAAATAGCTGACAAGTTGAACTTAACACAGAGACAGGTCTGTCTGTATTCAGGGTTCTAACCAGAAATGATGAAGAAAATGAGTTGAAGATTTTGCAATTCTATTTGGTTCTATATGTAAAACATGAAAATTTTAAAATTTTTTAATTTAAGAAAGCCACCACCTTACATTTCTAAATAATAGATACTTGCATTCAGTTGCTTCTTGAGCAAGTTATAGACACTGGGTTCATTCAGAGTTGTTTCTCCTGAGAAAGAAATTATTTACAGCCAGTGTCACTTTCGTTTTATATTGAGAAATACTCCCTTCTCATCGGTTTGAATTGGCTTGTTTTGCAAGGAGGACCTGTTTTCTCCATAGGTGTGCTTTGACCCACTTGTTTTGCAATAATGTCTAATGTCTAAGAGATAAAGGTGACCATGCTCAGTCCTGATGGAGGCAGGCATGAGACACAGTCACTAGGAATGTCCCACGTCTGAAAGAAAGTCCCAGGTGGAAAATATCTCACAGTTAAAGATGAAGCAAGACATGAATTTTTTACCTAGGTTGTGGCTCTGAAATGCGGAATCTGCAATTGTATCTTCTTCATCCTCTTGTAAGTTTTCGTTTGCCTCTTTTATCTGCAGAAACAAGAAAATACTGAAAGTTTTTATTCATTGTATTGAATAGATCTTTGCAATCCTCAGAACAATAATATATTTAAAAAATACATCATTTTTTTCTTTCATTCCACTTTCCCTCACTTTATCATCTAGCTTTTCTAGGACTTTTAATTATGAGAACTTTTTTTTTCAGAAATCAAACCCTAACTTTGGAAGGAAGGATGTACAGGTTACCCGATTCTGCATAGGATTTTAGAGATAAGAGTTTTGGTTTTTAATATAATATAATATAAAATCAGTAATTCAGGGCTGTTAGGGGAAGTTAAAATATAAAGAGGTATAATTCCTCCAGAGTGGGAGACTTACATCACAGGTTATATTAATAAAAATAAAGAAATATACTTAGATCTCCTGACACTTTCCCGGAACGTAACTTTCTAATAAAATTATTTTATTTTTCATTCTTTCCATACTGAAATGAGGTGACAGTGATATGTGCTGTGAACTGAAGCAGCAAGACTTTTATAGACTTCTTACATTAAAACATTCCCCTTATATCTTAGCTGGAACACCTAGACCCTGGATCATGTAACCTCAAATAGAATCCTGGAGAGAAACTCATGGAGTCTCAGTGTTTTACAGAGAGAGAAGTCTGAGGTCCAGGAAATTTTCTTAAAGTTGGCACACATGTAGTGTGTGGAGACACTCGCATGAAAACCCGTCTTCCAATTCCCATCTCAGAGACGGGGGTATTGTGGACCAGCCAATATGGAGATACCTGCATACAGTGGTGGCAGGGGCTGCATAGAGTCTTTACACATATCTCATCATCTTCCTGGTTATACCAGGGGCAGGTTCTTCTATTACAGAGAGGGTGAGTGATGGTCCAAGTGGTAGAGCTGAGATTCAAACACAGCAAGGCAAGCTCCAGATTTATGTTCAGGTGGGGAAACTTTGCTATTCTCAAATTTCCATTTGACTCTGCTTCTATAGACTTGACCTCAATATGAAGACAGCTGAGGTCTTTGCTGCAGTGACCCTCCATAGCTCTTTTAAAATACATTCTAGCCAGTCACCTGAGCAGCCAATAATAATGATGATGATGATATGAGCTGTGCAATGCAATGGGGGTCCTGCTCGGGCACATACATTAGAGGCTGTCAGTGGATTTGCTCAGGGGCTCAAGTGGAATACGAGGAAACCATTATTTTACTCTTGCAATATAGAAAGCCATATGGTTGCATACTGACCTTGAACTAGATTTAGCTTTCTACTTTTTATCTCCTATTTTTCACACTTAATGGGAAAAGACCAATTATTTACATTTTATGACTGCAGTTTCAATCGAAGAATGCAATTGGTGCGTAATCTGTACCACGCTGATAGCCAGAAGGTGACAAAGGCGGGAGGCGAGGTAGACATTACCGCCACCCTGGCAGGTTCAGCATCTGGAGACCGCGCTTCCTCACTTGCTCTGTGGGCACCTCCACAGGAAGAATGTTAGGGAAGAAAGAATGAAGGGAGCAAAGGCTTCAAGCAGCTGCTTCTAAGAATGTGCATTTAAGGAAGATAGAGAGGAAAAAGCCCTCTGAGCAGGAGTGAAGTTGCTGATTTGCCTTCCAAGTTTCACTTTGCTCAGCAATCTATTTATGGCAAGGGTACTCAAAACCAGTAAGAAAAGGACCCTTCAACCTCCTTAATTTTCCATTAAGAATCCATTGAGCGCCTTCTATCCTCATTTATGGATAGACACATCAAGGAAACCTATATCTTTAGTTCATTCCAGCTCTTATAGCCATCTGTTCCATATACACTCCCCACCTGTTAATGTAAAACAGTATTTCTTTGGGGTTATTCTAAATTTGCCCATTTTAAACTTGCAAGGGTACCCTCCTAAACTGTTGGAATATGAGTGAACCATCATTTCTGTCAGCCTGTGAAATTCAAACTAAAGAATCAAGAAATTAGAAAAAGTTTCATACCTTATAAAGGATATCAGGCTTGGAGAGGGTTAGTGATCTGTTCAAAGTCACGCAGGGTTTTACTTTTAGAATGGCACTTCTGAACCCTATTCATTGTGATAAATTCATTTTTTCAAAGTTCCCTATATTGGTATGAACATCCTTCTCAGACTGTCCCTGTTATGGTTTGGATATGAGGTATTCTCCAAAAGCTCACATGTGAGACTATGAAAGAAGGTTTAGAGGATAAATCATTGGGTTGTAGCCTTAACTTAATCAGTGAATTATTCCCTAATGGGATTAACTGAGTAGTAACTGGAGGTAGGTAGGGTGTGGCTGAAGGGAGTGGTTCATTGGGGTGTGGGTATGAGGTATATTTTATATTTGGAGAATAGAGTCTCTCTGTCTGCATTATGATCATCATGTGTGCTGCTTCCCTCTGCCATACTCTTCTGTCAGGATGGAACTGGTTGTATAAGGACTGAGAATTCTGAAACTGTGAGCCCCTATATAAAACTTTCCTCTTGTACAATTGTTTTGGTTGGATCCTTTAGTCACAGAAGCAAAAGAGCTGACTAAAAGAGTCCTCCAAACTATGATTTCTTTCTTAGGGTAGGGTAATTAAATATGGAGGCAATATTCCAAGTATTCATTAATCATAAAGATCTATTTTAAGAGTAGCGAAGATTCTGTGTGTGTGTGTGTGTGTGTGTGTGTGTGTGTATGTGTGTAAAACAGCTCTGCCTCCATGCCCTACTATTCCCTAACTCTTCTGTGGAACTTCACTACCACCTTTGTCCAAGCTATCATTTAAGAAAGAAATCATAAGCTATCATGGAGTCCTACCTTTTGCTTCTTTATCAGATCTTTCTAGGACTTTATGCACTTAAGAGCAAATGCTAAGTGTGACTTCTATGATTCATCCAAGGAACAGGCCTTATAGACAAGGTCCCAGTACTTGATTCAGGATGGGAGGATGATGGATAGGGGAAATTTTTAAATTTGAAAGGGACAGATGAAGCACTAGAAAAGGAATGGAAATAGGGGAATGCCCTAGAATGGCAAACTCCTCAGCTCTAATTATCCACACAAACAGATTTCAATGCTAAGTAGTGAATAATTTTTTAAATCCATTTGGCTATGCAAATGAGGGGCATAATTTATTTTGGCAGCAGATTCCCCTTGCTAATTTTATTTCTCATAGGATCAAATTTAATTTTCATTCCTGATCATGTAGCTGCTAGGTTATGGGAAACTACAGGGATAAGGGGCTGCCAGGTCCAAATTAAGAATTTTGCCAAAGACAGGCAGTAGCAGAACAACCTCTCCTGGCAGAGCCCTAGGAAGAATTAGAGTGGCCAGTAAACCAAGAAGCTGGCAAGTGTTTGGCTGGGAAAAGACTGGTAGGTAGAAATTTAGAATTTCTCAGTCACTGCTATCTCAGGACAAATAATTCCAGTATTCTCCATTTGAAGAGAAGTAGCAGGTGGCTCATAACTAACAACTAGACGCTGTTTGGGTGCACTGTCAGAACTCTGGGCACCTTCTAAAGATGCATCTCTAATTCTTGTCCAGTTTTTCGGGCTCTGTCATTATAGACAAGAACGGCTCCGAACATGAGCTAGTAATAAGTGACCTGTCACATTTCAGTGCATCCATCATATATTACCAACTCCTACCACTAGGAAGGACAGGAAGAAATGAGCACACAGAAGGCACAGAGGAAAGTGGAAGACAGTATTCACCACTGATTCACACATGTAGATGATTTTATCACTGAACCCTGTACTGGGGACACTCTTCATTTGGAAGAAGTATCCATATATGTTCACATATTTCTTCTCTGGGTCACCCTAATGCTAATGACTTTTTTTTTTTTTTTTTGGTTATCTTAAAGCTTATTTAATAGGAAAAGCACATAATGAATCTATGACAGACAGGGAGCAATCCTGGGAGGGAAAACTAAAAGGCATGACCTTTGGAAAAGTTAGTCATTTAGAAAACTTTGTAAGAGGAGGACAACATAGGCATGCTTCTTATTAGCATCAAAATAGCATTTAGAACAGAATCATTCAATTATGGATATTGAAATTAGGACATTTTTGCAAAACTTAAGATGATAACAATTTGTGTAATTATTGTACTATTTGCTGCTGCTTCATCACCAGAGTCCCATTTTAATGGGATAGAATTAGATGATTTTTTATTAGCAGATGTGATTTTTTTCAGACTATGTGATACTTCGGCGAGGAAAATACCCATAATTTAAATTAAAATACTTGGTAAAATGGCCATTTCCCTCCTGTGCATGATGAAGGTGTATGATCTCGTTAACTTTGTTAACAATTTTTATTTTTGTCCATTGGTGTTAAATAAGAGCCTGGAGCTGTCTTCCTTTGAGACTTCTCATTTCAGAAAATTATCTCAATGCACAGGAAAAAGGAACTTAGAACTCTCAGCAAGCAGAGTGCATCTCAATCTGACTCACTGACTTAATGCCGAGGCAGTCTTTCTAGGGGATACCTTTCCTCCTTCTTTCATTTAAATGATATAAAATCATTTTAAGTTCAAAGTAACATGGCCCCTGCTCTAAATTACGCAAAAATTAGAGCAAAGTGGTCTATAAATGATGGCAGAAATGGGGATGTAAGCCTCTAATTAAGGTTCTGAAAAGAGTAGAAGATTTAATTCAGCAAAGCATTTCTGGGACTTTTGCACATGTTTTAGAATGTGTTTTAATAATAATAAAGAGGGATATGCAGTTACTACTGAACTGACTGGTTTGCTACAAATAAGGGATTTTGCATATATGTATACACACATGTATATGGGAATAATCTTTTATAACTACATTAAAATAATAAAAATGTCTTAGAACTCTCATGACTAAATATCTTAGTTTTAAAAGGGAAAGAAAGGGCAAGGAATGGTGATACATTATGTCAAAGGTTTTGGAATGGTTTCACTCAGGAAAAAAAGTATAATATGTAATGCATATTTATAGTTATTATATATTCAAAAGAACCACTGTAAGAAAAATTATTATAACACACTGTA